GGTGCAGTATCTCCTACAACCCCGACATCCCGTACTAAGGAACTGCTATGCCAGCCTCAAGCCCTAAGCTACGTACTAGGAGGATAGCCAACCCTTAGTCGTGAGTTATGGACTGAATCCATATATTGTATGGTGCTAGCATGTGAATCATTGTTCTATTTTTTTTTTTTGATGGCAGAGAGCTGGGGATCCTCCGTTCCCTCGTATATCCCTGGAGCCCGTTCCGGCCCCGCGGCAAGGTGCAGTATCTCCTGACACCCCCTCCATCCCGTACTAAGGAACTGCTATGCCAGCCCTGTCTCTTATACACATCTAGATTTTTTTTTTTTGATGGCAGAGAGCTGGGAATCCTCTGTTCCATCGTATATCCCTAGAGCCCGTTCCGGCCCCACGGCAAGGTGCAGTATCTCCTGACACCCCCGACATCCCGTACTAAGGAACTGCTATGCCACCCTCAAGCCCTAAGCTACGTACTAGGAGGATAGCCAACCCTCAGTCGTGAATCATGGACGGTATCATGGACTGTGTATGGACCCTGGAGAATCGTTGATAGCGATGGTAGAGAGCTGGGGATCCTCCCTCGTATATCCCTGGAGCCCGTTCTGGTCCCGCGGTAAGGTGCAGTATCTCCTGACATCATCCAGAAAAGGAGTCAATTGATATTCAATAATAAAATAATAATAATACATTACATTCCGAAGAAGTTAAAAAAACTTTAAAAAGATAGAGTTTAATACATGGCTGTGCCGGCAACCGGCCGGTTGGAACGGCATGGTGATTGCGGGAGATCTTAACACAGTCCTCTGCCCTGGCCTGGATTCACCTCAGGCAGGATTGAAGAGGGCGGATGCACTTATTCTGGAGCAAGTATTGGAAACCCAAGGCCTGCAGGACTCATTTCGCCAGCTGCACCCGGACTCACCGGGGTACACATGGTTCTCTACACAGAGAATAGAGAATAGGAACCAACCGAGGAGAAGACTAGATCTGATTCTCACGAAGGGGGAGGCTATTCCGGTTGGGTCCAAAACTGGGTCAATTTTTTTTTATTTTATTTTTTTGAAAACATGGCTGGACTGCGCTCACCGAGATCTCCCCGAATCCGCAAAGAAAACTTTGAACAGAGAAGTTTCGTTTGGGGGGTTGGGGGGTTGGGGGGTTGG